CAGTTTTGAAATGCAGCTTTGAGCATAGAAAAGAGCATGAGTTTTTGATCTAGACATAACTTGTTCCAGCTCCAGCACTTCCCAGCTGTTTCATTCAGAGCAAGTCACTTGACCACTCCAAGTCTCCCTTTTCATACTAGTGAGGTGGGGCTAATCCCTCCTTTAGAGAGTCACTCGAAGCTGGGTAAGAGATAACATATCTGAAGTGGCTAAAAAGGCATTGTTAAGAGGTCAAAATCAGTTGGTTCTCAGAGGTTCTAGGAGCCACTAATAAACTGGAAAATAAAAAGGAAGAGGTCACTCCTCTCTTTGCAATGCGAAGGATATGGATGAGTGCTGCTTGCCTGGATCCTACTACAGAATATCCTCTATCTTTTCTGCTCTCTGCAGCAGATGTCTGCTTTGTCCTGGCTCTTCATCCCAATTTGGCTATTCACTGTTGATGTACTACTGCCATTGCCCTGGGGAAAACAGGTGCTTCCCTTCTCAAATAAATTTTGGTCTCTTTAGAAGATGCTCTGTAAGAAAGACTTTAGGATGGGCCAGGCGTGCGGTGGCTCATGCCTGTAATCCCAGCACTTTGGGAGGCTGAGGTGGGTGGATCACCTGAGGTCAGGAATTTGAGACCAGCCTGACCAATATGGTGAAACCCCGTCTCTTTAAAAAAAAATAAATTAACTAAATAAATAAATAAAAATAAAGACTTCAGGATACTTGTGCATGCTGCCACCCTTGATTTCAAGAAGTAGGGGCTGGGCATGCTGGTTCACACTGAGGCAGGAGGATTGCTTGAACCAGGAGTTCAAGACCAGCCTGGTCAACATGGCAAGATCCCCTCTCTACAAAATATATATATCTTTAAATTAGCCAAGTGCAGTGTGGTGATGCAGTCCTGTAGTCCCAGCTTCTTGCAAGGCTAGGGTGGGAAGATCTCTTGAGCCCAGGAGGTTGAGCCTGCAGTGAGCTGTGTTTATACCACTGCACTCTAGCCTGAGTGACAGAGTGAGACCCTTTGTCAAAAAAAAAGAAAAAAAATGAAGTGGGGACTAGAGACAGCTTCAGTTAGAAAGAGAAATGCTATGTATGTGTGTATGTGGAGACAGATTGAGGTGGAAAGTTTCCCTGAAGACCTAAAACTTCAGCAGAGTAGGGTGAGTGGGTGTATGTTAGAAGGACAGGGAGAAGGACGTTACAGGCAGTGGAGTATTCTCTGCAAAGGCACAGATGTAGGAGAGCATAGTGTGTTCTGGCAACTGCTCAGGATTCATGTCAATGGTAGGCAGATGTCAGCTCACGAAGTGCCTTTTATGCCATCCGAAGTTTTAAGACATCAGCCAAAGGAGTAGACTGAAGCATTCTGAGCATGGGAAAGCAGTAAGTTTTTGTTGAATGCATGCGTGACAGTGGGAAGATGGGACATGGTAATTAGCAGTACAGTTAAGCATTGCTTAATGATAGGGACAAGTTTTGAGAAGTGCATTGTTAGGTGATTTTATCATTGTGCAAACATCATTGAGTGTATTTACACAAACCTAGATGGTATAGTCAAGTACACATCTAGGCTACATGATATAGCCTATTGCTCCTAGATTACAAACTGGTACAACATGTTAATGTACTGAATACTGTAGGTGACTATAACACAATGGTAAGTATTTTTGTATCTAAACATGGAAAAGGTACAGTAAAAATATGATAAAATAATCTCCATCATATAATGCAGTCTGTTTTTGAGTGGAGTGTCATTATGAAGCATGTAACTGTATTTCCTATACTTATGGCCTTCTATAAGTTTTACTTAGCTTTTCTATGTCTATTTCCTTTGTATGTGTGTGTGAAATGGGAATTTAAAAATCAACTTGAAAGTGTGGGTGGGGCTCACTGGCTCACACCTGTAATCCCAGCCCTTTGGGAGGTTGAGATGGGAGGGTCACTTGAGGTCTGGAGCCCAGGAGCTGGAGAGCAGCCTTGGCAATATGGGGAGACCCCATCTCTACAAAAAATTTTTTTTAATTAAAAAAATAATTAGTTCAGCATAGTGGTGCATGCCTTTAGTTCCAGCTACTTGGGAGGCTAAGGTGGGAGCATCATTTGACTGGGAGGTAGGTTGCAGTGAGCTGTGATTACGCCACTGCATTCCAGCCTGGGAGATAGAGCAAGATCCCTTCTCAAAAAAAAAAAAAAACAAAAAAACCCCACAAAGTGTTGTTGAAATTTAAAATATTATAATAGATGTAAAGGAGTAATCCTGGCACTTAATAAAAGCTCAATATTTTTTAAAAGGTGACATTTGTTTTACACAATACATATTACCCAAACAATCCAGTAATCTGTGATGTGCTTCCATGCCTGTTTCCTTTTTTGCAAAGTGGTTCTCCAATTTTACCTTTTCATAGTACCTTGTTCTTCTTCTTCCCAGCATTTACCCCATAATGTTAATTAAATGTTCTAATTCTTTTCCCACCAAACTCCTAGAATATAACAGTTTTTCCTGCTAGACTCCTGGCTCTTTGAGACCAGTGACTTAAAAATTTACAACTTATCTGCACTTTCTTTCTTTTCTTTTTTTTTAAAAGAGATGGGGTTTCTCCATTTTGGCCAGACTGGTCTTGAACTCCTGACCTCAAGTGATCCACCCACCTCGACCTCCCAAAGTGCTGGAATTACAGGCGAGAGCCACCGCACCCAGCCTATTTGCACTTTCTAACACCATCTGTCTCTTAACAGATACATGTTCAATAAATATTGGTGAAAACAACCAAACTCACACTTACCTTGAGGAGAACGGGAAAAGGCCTGTTTTGTTATGAGAGAAGAAAAATAGCTCAGATAAGTCTAAGTTATGTTAAAGGTATGCAAAAGCAATTTTTTTTAAAATTAAAGATATGGGGTCTCTCATCAAGGCTGGAGTGCAGTGGTGTGATCACAGCTCACTATGACATTGAACTCCCAGGCTCAAGCAATCTTCTCACCTTGGCCTCCTTAGTAGCTAGATATATAGTCGTGTGCCACCACACCTGGCTGATTTTTACTATTTAAACATTTCTATTTATTTATTTTTTTATTTTTTGAGACAGAGTTTCGCTCTTGTTACCCAGGCTGGAGTGCAATGGCGCGATCTCAGCTCACCACAACCTCTGCCTCCTGGGTTCAGGCAATTCTTCTGAGTAGCTGGGGTTACAGGCACATGCCACCATGCCCAGCTAATTTTTTTTTTTTTTTTTTTTTTTTTTTTTTTTAGTAGAGACGGGGTTTCACCTTGTTGACCAGGATGGTCTCAATCTCTTGACCTCGTGATCCACCCGCCTTGGCCTCCCAAAATGCTGGGATTATAGGCGTGAGCCACCGCGCCTGGCTTATTTTTATTTTTATAAAAAGATTCGTTTTTTAAATGTATTTTTATTTATTGAATTTTTTAATTAAAAAATAGATCTTATTTTAAATATAGATGAGATCTCCTTATGCTGCCCAGGCTGGTCTCCAACTCCTGAGCTCAAGCTCAACCTGATCTGCCTGCCTCGACCTCCCAAAGTGCTGGGATTACAGCCGTGAGGCACTGTGCTTGGGGTTTAAACATTTTTTTTTCAGACAGGGTCTCATTCTTGATTACAGTGGTACAATCTCGGCTCACTGCAGCCTCAACCTCCCAGCTCAAACGATTTTCCCACCTCAGCCAGGAACAGCTGGGACTCCAGGCGTGGGCCACCATGCCCAGTTAATCTTTTTTTTTTTTTTTTTTTTTAATGAGATGGAGTTTCTTTTTTTTTTTTTTTTTTTTTTTAATTTTTTATTGCATTTTAGGTTTTGGGGTACATGAGCAGAATATGCAAGACAGTTGCATAGGTACACACATGGCAGTGTGTTTTGCTTCCTTTCTCCCCTTCACCCACATTTGGCATTTCTCCCCAGGCTATCCCTCCCCAGCTCCCCCCGCTGGCCCTCCCCTTTTCCCCCCAATAGACCCCAGTGTTTAGTACTCCCCTCCCTGTGTCCATGTGTTCTCATTTTTCATCACCCGCCTATGAGTGAGAATATGCGGTATTTCATTTTCTGGTCTTGTGTCAGTTTGCTGAGAATGATGTTCTCCAGATTCATCCATGTCCCTACAAATGACACTAACTCATCATTTCTGATTGCTGCATAATATTCCATGGTGTATATGTGCCACATTTTCCCAGTCCAGTATATCATCAATGGGCATTTGGGTTGGTTCCAGTTCTTTGCTATTGTAAACAGTGCTGCAGTGAACATTCGTGTGCATGTGTCCTTATAGTAGAACGATTTATAGTCCTTTGGATATATACCCAGTAATGGGATTGCTGGGTCAAATGGAATTTCTATTTCTAAGGCCTTGAGGAATCGCCACACCGTCTTCCACAATGGTTGAACTAATTTACACTCCCACCAACAGTGTAAAAGTGTTTCTTTTTCTTCAAAGCCTCTCCAGCATCTGTTGTCTCCAGATTTTTTAATGATCGCCATTCTAACTGGCGTGAGATGGTAAATGAGATGGAGTTTCTCTCTTTTTGCCCAGGGTGGAGGGTAACAGCTCACTGCAACCTTCTACTCCCGGGTTGAAGCGATTCTCCTGCCTCAGCCTTCTGAGTAGCTGGGATTATAGGCGTGTGCCATCACGCCCGCCTTGGGGGATCCTAGCTGGGATTATAGGCCGAACTGCCGCACCCAGCCACCCTGTTAATTTTTTAATTTTTTTGTAGAGACAGCCTCTTGCTGTATTGCCCCACCTGGTCTCAAATTCTTGGCCTTAAGCCATCCTCCCACTTTGGGCTCCCAAAGGGCTGGGATTACAGGTGAGAGCAACACCAGCAGCCAGGCAGGCATTCAAAATTTATCAGGCTCAGAGGGACCTGAGTATGGGACTTCAGTTAACACCATTCCATGTGGGGGTGGGGTAGGAGTGGGGTATGTGTGACGGAGTGGCAATTGTTTAAAGGCATTGGGTTATTGCATGTCTAAAGGCCGAGCAGCCCCATAGCTAGGATGCACCTCCCGCATGACCCCTCCGGCCAGCCGGACCCCTCAGATGAGAGCTGCGCCCAAACCAGCACCAGCCACTTAGCCACTAGCAGCGGCACCCACCTCTGCAGTTGGGTCTGCTGTCCCAGATGGCAACTACTGCAGCTGGTGTGGCTGTGGGCTCTGCTGTGGGGCACACACTGGGCCACACCATTACTGGTGGCTTCAGTGGAGGAAGTGATCCTGAGCCTGCAAGGCCTGACATCACTTACCAGGAGCCTCAGGGAACCCAGCTGGCACAGCAGCAGCAGCCTTGCTTCTATGAGATCAAACAATTCTTGGAGTGTGCCCAGAACCAGGGTGACATCAAGCTCTGTGAGGGTTTCAGTGAGGTGCTGAAACAGTGCCGACTTGCAAACGTATTGGCCTAATCAAGAAAGTACAAACTGGAGAAATGGAAAACCAGCTCTCATAACCAAGTTAACTTAATATAAAAGTTTAATTATAGTGAAGGTATAAAGTGTAGCCGTCAGTTAAACCTCTCCTGTCATTCCTAGCTTCCTTGCTTCAGAATTGAAATGGAAGGGGGTGTTCCTACTCTGTAGAATTTGGAGTTGGTCAAATGTTTGTGTGGCCTCCTTAAACTAGCTGTTATGATTTTATTCTTTGTGAGTTAATTAGAATAAAGTTATTTTCTTCCAAAAAAAAAAAAAAAAAAGGCATTTTGTTCTTTTCTTCTCTGTACCTGCATCACCCTTTATCTTTGTGTTCCTAGAATTTGTGATAGAAAGAACAATGTGTAGCCAGTGGATAGCTTATGGTTTTTTTTAGTGTAAATTCTTGGTATACAGTTTAGCAGAAGCCTCTTCTTTTTTCCTGCAAAAATTCACCAGTGGGCGGGCGCGGTGGCTCATGCCTGTATCCTAGCACTTTGAGAGGCCCAGGTCGGCGGATCACCTGAGGTCAGGAGTTCAAGAGCAGTCTGACCAACATGGTGAAACCCGTCTCAACTAAAAATGCAAAAATGGGCCGGATGTGATGGCACATGCCTGTAACCCCAGCTACTTGGGAGGCTGATGCGGTAGAACTCCTTCAACCCGGGAGGCGGAGGTTACAGTGAGCCGAGATGGCTCCATTGCATTTCAGCCTGGGCAACAAGAGCGAAATTCCCTCTCAAAAAAAAAAAAAAAATCGTGGCTAACACGGTGAAACCCGTCTCTACTAAAAGTACAAAAAAAAAATTAGCCGGGAGTGGTGTCAGGTGCCTGTAGTCCCAGCTACTGGGGAGGCTGAGGGAGGAGAATCGCTTGAACCCGGGAGGCGGAGGTTGCAGTGAGCCGAGATCGTGCCAGTGAGCCGAGATCGTGCCAGTGCACTCCAGCCTGGCGACAGAGCGAGGCTCCGTCTAAAAACAACAATAACAAAAACAAATTCACTTGTAATCGCTACAAGTGTTATGCCTCACGTCTGTAATTCAAGGCTCGGGCTCCACAAGACAAAAAACTCACTTGAAACTGCTGCTCATCGTATATTAAGGGCAACTTGAATCGACGCTCCCAGGTTGCATGCTCCTAGGTTGCATTCATCAAACTTGGCCCACATAAATTCTCTGCTTATGTTAACGTTGCCTCAGTTTTTCCTTTAGGTCGACCGTTATTTCTAAAGTTGTACAAATGGGTTTAGCTTGCATTAAAATAAGGTGTGAGAAGGGCAAATGAAGCCAGAGGCTCTCAGCACAATCTTGCAGCCTTCAGAGGCTTCCAAAGGATAAGCATTCACTCCAATATTCAGCAAGACTGCAGCTCTTTAAGATTCACAAAGTATTAACTCTGTTGCTTGGAATTCCAGAAAGAGGGGAGGAAGCGCCCAAATAAAGATAAAAAGATAAAAGCGATCATCCTAAAATCGGGAGCGCAAGGGAGAAGCTTGAAGCTATGGGCTCTGAAGCAGGCGTTTCCCAATCCAGGGCTGCCCAGGTCGGCCGACCAACCAGTCAGCCGCGCCGGCCCTCGTAGCCCAAGAGAGCAGCTCGGCTCCCGCGCCACGTGGCGCTGGGAAGGCGTCCTCCCAGCGCCAGGGAGAAAGAGGCGGAGTCCGGCCTCAATCCCGCCGGTGTTGTCATGGGAGTTGTAGTTTTCCTCGCGGGCGTACACGGCACGAACTCTCCGGCTTTTGCCCGGTAAATAGCATCTCTTTCATATGAGTCATTCAAATGATAGACACAGCCTAGGTAGCTTCAAGAGAAGATGGGAAGTGGAAGGAGCAAAGCCAGGAAGACAAACCTACAGATTATGAGTGGGGCAGAGAAAGGGTTCACACTCAGTACGCATGCGCACACCAGACGCGGCGGGTAGGCGGGGACGGAAAGGCGGTGCCGAGAGCTGTGTTGTCCCCGGAAGTGCCTTCCTCCTCTCAGGTCTGCGCGGACGCGGCCTCCTTACCTCATTTGTCCTCGCCCCTCCCCGTCCTTCTACGCGTTTTGGTTCCCGGTTGGTGCTTCCTGTTTGCTGCCGCTGCAGTGAGTATGTGAGTGACGGACCCCGAGCCGCACGCGGCCCGGGACCCCTGCCTACCCTCCATTTTGCCCGCCAGGCTGTGGAACTAGCACGTGCCCTCTCGCCGGCCTCGGCATCTCACGTCCGCCCCTCACTCGTGGCGGGGCGCAACTCTTGGCCCCTAAGCTGCGCGCCGCCCCACGCGGCCGGGCTGCGGGTCTGGGGGTCCGCGTCTCCCTGGCCCTCCAGGATCTAAGGCCGTGGTTCAGGAGCTGTTGGGCGTCCAGGGTCTCGGTGGGGGTGGCGTATCTGCCCTTTTTACATCCCCGCAAGGCCCCCCTGTCTTGTAGGGAGGCCAGTCAGTGAAGCGCGGAGGTCCTGGCGCGTCGAGAGGGAGTCCAGTCTTTGAGGACCGACTGGTCCTGGGCCACCCACCTCTCGCCTCTGCTGTCAGAAGCAGAAGCTACAGCCGTATCCAGTATTTCGGGATACCGCAATCCAGTATTTCGGGAGCTGTGTCCCTTTCCTCATGCAAAACAAGGAGACTTGGACTGTGTTTACTAAGGCGCCCCTTATCCCTCCCATTCCGTGAGCGGACAGTTGCCTGCAACTTTGGGGAAGCGGCCGGTGCTGTGGAAAAGCTGTGGCTCGGAGTCAGGAGGCCTGGGTTCTAGCCGTGGCTCCAGCACTGACTCGCTGGCGACTCCAGAAAGCTCTAATTGAGGCTGTATTTACGATGATTTCAGATTACACGGTTGAATTAGGGGCTCCATTAGGGCCTTTTTAGCTCAGTGAATAAGATTCTCTGAGCACGTTTCTCCAAATATAAAACCAGAGCGTTCAATTTGATGACTTTTCAGGTCCCCTCAAAAGCTCTTGACTTTGTGCGGGCTTTTTTTCTTTATTTAAAAAATTTTTTCCTAGGACTGTTAGAGAAATGACTTTGTGTTTGAATGCGTAGGCAATCACATACAAAGACTTTTAAATGGATTGTGTGTATATTTAGGAAAGTATTATGCTTTGGAGACAGTTTAGCATTGCTACTTTCATATATATATATATATATATATTTTTTTTTTTTTTAATAAAGACGGGGTTTCACCACGTTGGTCGGGCTGGTCTTGAACTCCCGACCTCAGGTGATCCGCCCTCCTTGGCCTCCAAAGTGCTTGGATTACAGGTGTCAGCCACCACGCCCAGCCAGCATTGCTATTTTCAAGAGCATCTGAGAATGAGGAATAAACTCAGGAAGGATCGCAACTGAGGATGATATTAATATGATAGTTACCGGGTAAGAGACTGAATGGCCGAAGGAAAAGGGCTAAAGGAAAGATGAAGGAAATGTTTCCAGTTAGGATTAGTTCTCCTAAAAATCATGTATATATTCCAAGAACAGCTGGGGCTAATATGACTAAATTTAGCTTAATTTTTTCCCACTGAAATACTGTGCTCTGTATTTTGTGACCTTTGTTTTACACATTTGGATATACCACCCTGGTCAGATTTGATTCAGAGTGGCCGTCGCATTTGAAAAGTGGGCAGACATTTCAACCCCTTAGTCAATTGTGTTTCACCTGTCACTGTCAGGGCAGCTCACTAAGAGTAAAAAAGAAATTTTACGTCAAAAGTAAAGTGTGTATTTCTCACTTTCCAATGCAATTTGGACTGAAAATGAAGCTGTGGATTTAAATTGGCCTGAGATGGATGCCTGTGTTATCAAGAAGGAACATCTAAGGAAGCTAAAGGTGCTTTGGAAGTAAATAAGAGCAAAAGGTCAGAGTGACCAGTTGGTAGACTGAGAGCAGAAGGACTGATTAAAGATTATATTAAGTAAATTGTGAAAGCTTAAATAAGGCTTAAGTTGTCTAGTTTAAAACAATTTAGTGAATGAATACTGCTCCCTCTTTTGAATGAGAAGAGCCTTTGCTGTTATTCTATAGCTGTTTTATATTTGTTAAGCTATTTTAACTTGTAGATAAGTTTTATTTACATTTCCATGATATTTTAGGATCTTACATAGGAAACATCTTTTCTGGTCATGGGATTGATAAAGTCTTTGAGTACTAACTTGGGAGATTCTTGGATGATAAACTGACAAATATGTGTTTTCCTTCCACCTAAAATGTCTTATTTACAGTTTTTAAACTCTGCTGGGAGGTGAAATGCATATTTGTGAGGTAAATTTAGGTAGTAGAACCAATGCAAATATTGTAGTGAAGGAAGGATTTCTTTTTAAATATCTTAATTTGAAATTACTTATTTGAGAATTTTATTTTGGGCTGGGTACTGTCACTCACGCCTGTAATACCATCACTTTGGGATGCCAGGGCAGGTGGATCATGAGGTCAAGAGTTCCGAGACCAGCCTGGCCAACATCGTGAAACTCCAAGAATTCAAAAATTAGCTGGGTTTGGGGTAGGGGGGGCCTGCCTGTAATCCCAGCTACTTGGGGGACTGGGGCAGGAGAATTGCTTGAATTTGGGAGGCGGAGCTTGCAGTGAGCGGAGATTGCGCAGCTGTACTCCAGCCTGGGCAACAGAAAAAAAAAATTTAAAAATTTTAGTAATAGTTGGCTGAGAATCACAGAAATGTGAATCACTTCTAGCTGTGTCCTTAACCACCTGCATAACCTTGGATAGGCCTCCTGTCTCTTTGTACTTCAGTTTCCTGATGTGTAGATTGAGGAGTCTGTGTGAGATAATCTGATTTTGTTATCTAGTTAGTACACTTGGGAATCATGTACAGGGATCAGAAAGCTGAGAAAAAGCCTTCTGAGTGCAGAATGTGTGTGTGTGTGTGTGTGTGTGTGTGTGTGTGTGTGTGTATGTGTGTGAAAAACATATATATTGTCCTCTGAGAATACACCTTTTTAAAGTAAATTCATTTGAATGTAATTAAAGCAGTAACATAAACCAAAACAGCCTCAGGCAGACCTTAACCCTGGCATACATAAGCTACCTAAATAAGAGAGCATGTTACGCCAAGCACAATTTTCAAGTACAGACGGTACAAAATCCTCTTAAAGGCCATAGGGGCTAAATTGTTAAATTCATTTTTCTGCATTTCAGGGAAAGAGATAAATCCTTAGACCCAAGGAAGTCAGTTTTTATTATGGTTCTGTAGTTTATTTTTGGCATACATTCACAGGTGTGCCTATGGCTCTATTCTTAATCCTTTTCCTTTGGGATGGCTCCAAGAGTAGTACAAATTTGTAACTCTGTAATTTAGCTCTTTAATTTTTTCTGTGCTGCACTGGAATTGTGTTTTATCTTAAGTCCACACTGGATCCTCAGGATGGATCCAGTGAGGATTTTGAAAGAAGCATAATTCCTTTGACTTCTTCTAGAATTAATTTACCTATTAAATAAAAAGGAAAGGATTCGTCTTTTATTTCAATTCCTCAGGCTAACATTTCAATATAAACTGATAAATGCTGTGAGCATTATTCAGAAAGCCACATTCAATTTGTGTGACAGTAACAGCATAGGAAGGACAGTGCAACAAGGGCACAGGTACATGATACCTCTGCGAAGAAAAGCGCTACAGGTTGGTTTATTTATTCTGCAAAACAAACAACTACAGTAGGAATGTAGTACGTTTTTGGCTCTTGTGCATTTGTTTCTTGGATTTAAGCTGGTTCTGTGACCAGAACTACCATCACCATACCCTGACATTTTGGGCAGAAATTTGGGAGACTAAGATAACGACTATTTTAATTTTATGTGTATAGCTAGAAGTTGAAAAAAGAATACATTGGCATCATTACTGCTCTCTGGGCTGTTCCTAATTTTGGACATACGCTTATTTTTCCAGAGCTCTCATTTTAATCAGTAGTCCATGATTACCTAATGGAAACATCTACTGTGTAGAGTTTTGGTTGATGATATGAGAATTTCTAAGACTTTGGAGTAGTTGAAAGACAACAGAGAAATTCATCCCATCATAATTTCTGTATTTTAAGCGCATACTGTTTTTATCAGTACTGAAGAACAAATGTCTGATGGTGTAATTCATTTATTTATTTATGAATTTAACAAACATTTGTAGATGGCCCCCAAAATACCAGTTAACTTTGCTTGGCTTTGGTGATTCATTGTTTAGCAGAGTGCATATAATTCCTCTCCTCCTGGGGTTTCTGACCTGTGTTTCTTGGAGATTCATATTGAATAAGTAATTAGAAATGTGATGAGTGTTTTGACATGTAAAGGGCTTATGGAAGCCAATAAAAGGGGCACTTAATTTAGTCTGGTGGGGAGTGATTTTGAGCCGAGTTTAAAAGATGAAGGGTGAGGAAGATTTAATACGCTCACAGTGGAAAGTATTTCACTTTAGGCATTTATTACCAAAGCTGGGAGTTTTGTCTCAATATTAGCTAATTAGTAAGTTGATATTATGTACATATTTATAACTAGAACAGAGTTTTTAGATAGAGTCTGGCTCTGTTGCCCAGGGTGAAGTGCAGTGGCATGATCTCAGCTCACTGCAGCCTCTGCCTTCCGGGTTCAAGCTATTCTTATGCCTCGGCCTCCTGAGTAGCTGGGATTGTAGGCTCACACTACCATGCCCAGCTAATTTTTGTATTTTTAGCAGAGATGTGGTTTCACTATTTTGGCTAGGGTGGTCTTGAACTCCTGACCTCAAGGGATCCACCTGCTTTGGACTCCCAAAGTCCTGGGATTACAGGTATGAGCTGCTACACCTGCCTGCCCTTGTTTTATTTTTGTTTGGGGCTCTTGATTTGTTACCCAGGTTGGAGTACGGTGGTGTGACCATAACTCACTGTAACTTTGAACTCCTGAGCTCAAGGGGTTCTCCCACCTCAATCTCTTGAGTAGCTGGGACTACAGGTTTGCACTACCATGCCTGGCTAAGTTTTTATTTTCTCTTTTTGTGGAGATGGGGGTCTTACTGTGTTTCCTAGGCTGTTCTCAAACTTCTAATCTTAAAGTGATCCTCCTGCCTTGGCCTCTAAAAATGTTGGGATTATAGGAATGAGCCACTGTGCCAGCTCAGGCATTTTTACTTATTTTTTTGGCTAATGAACAGATAGCATGAGATTAATTTGTCAGTTGAGAATATACATTTATACCCAAACAGTAAATAAAATTGTTTCCTGTTATGGATTTTAATCATAATTGAAATATTCCTGTATGAGAATATATACTTGAAAATATGGGCTGTACAACCAGAACCAAGGAAAAGATGAAGAATGGATGGGATAGTGAGAGCTGCTTCAAGTCTTGTGAGTTTTAATATTTTGGAAACAAGTGTTTTGTATCCTGCAGTAGATCTCATCTAGTTTTTCATTTACAATATACCTGTGAAATATGATATAATCATGTGCTATATAATAGCATTTTGGTTAAAGGCAGACTGTATGACTGTGGTCCCATAAGGATTTGTATGCTATTTTTACTGTATCTTTTGTATATTTAGATATACAAATACCTTTGTATTACAGTTACTTACAATATTTGGTACAGTAACATGCTGTACTAGTTTGTATCCTAGGAGCAATAGACCATACCAGATAGCCTAGTTGTGTAGTGGGCTACACCATCTAGGTTTGTGAAAATTACCAGATAGCCTAGTTGTGTAGTGGGCTACACCATCTAGGTTTGTGAAAATCATTCTATGAAGTTTGCATGATGAAATCACTGAACAAAGCATTTCTAAGAATGTTGACTGTTTCCATCAATAACCGTAACTCAATTTGTCAGTAGTAGTTCTCATTAGGGCGTGGTGGGACTTACAGGAGTGGATCCTAAGAGGACTTAGAAATCCTTGGAAAAAAAGGGATTTTTTTTTTTTTTTTTTGAGACGGAGTTTCGCTCTTGTTACCCAGGCAGGAGTGCAATGGTGCAATCTCAGCTCACCGCAACCTCCGCCTCCTGGGTTCAGGCAATTCTCCTGCCTCAGCTTCCTGAGTAGCTGGGACTATAGGCACGCACCACCATGCCCAGCTAATTTTTTGTATTTTTAGTAGAGATGGGGTTTCACCATGTTGACCAGGATGGTCTCGATCTCCTGACCTCGTGATCCACCCACCTTGGCCTCCCAAAGTGCTGGGTTTACAGGCGTGAGCCACTGCGCCCGACCCAAAAAAGGGATTTTAATATGTCTGAGAATAGTGATGGCCTTCATATTAGCAGTTGTCACTAATGTGTGGTATTGTTCCCTAAACTGTCATGATCTGAACTTTTAAAATATATTCTGTGTACAACTTTCTCTTTTGCAGCATCAAGGTTACTGACTTTTGATGATGTTTGGTGGCTACGAGACTGTAGAAGCATATGAAGACGCTCTTTATAGAGACGAGTCATCTAGTGAACTGAGTGTTGATAGTGAGGTGGAATTTCAGCTCTATAGCCGAATTCATTATGCCCAAGATCTTGATGATGTCATTAGGGAGGAAGAACTTGAAGAAAAGAACCCTGGGAATTCGGAATCTTCAAGTAGTAAACCAAATCATAAGAAGCTAATTGTCGTTTCAGATAGTGAAATCATCCAGCTGTCAGATGGGTCAGAGGTCATCACTTTGTCTGATGAAGATAGTATTTATAGATGTAAAGGAAAGAATGTTAGAGTTCAAGCACAAGAAAATGCCCATAGTCGTTCTGCTTCTCTTCAGTCTAATGAGCTGGTTGATAAATGCAAGAGTGATATTGAGAAGCCTAAACCTGAAGAGCGATCAGGTATAATCCGAGAGGTCATGATTATAGAGGTCAGTTCAAGTGAAGAGGAAGAGAGCACTATTTCAGAAGGCGATGATGTGGAAAGCTGGATGCTACTGGGATGTAAAGTAGATGATAAAGATGATGATATCCTTCTTAACCTCGTGGGATGTGAAAACTCTGTTGCTGAAGGTTAGTATCACTGGCCATTTTGAAAGTATCATCTTTCATAAGGAAGACTGCTTTTCCTAGACAAAAGACCAAGAGGGTCTGCTCCATTTAATTCTTCACTTTTTGGTCTTGTTTTTTGGCTTGTTTCTCATGCAACTCTCTTACTGGTGGCTACTCTAATGGTGATTTGTCTGAACATCAGAAAGTATGTGTCAGAATACCAAAGACACTCTGCTTCTGCTGTAAGCAGATACATAGCTGCTGCTTCCTGTTTGGCTAGAGCCAGTTCTGCACCTGAAATCTTACTCTCCCTGACCCCCCCGCCCCCCTGCTTGGTGCCACAGGTGAGTACTTCATCTACCTCTGACATTAGCCCTGTGCACTCATTCAGCCAACTCTGTTGAGACTGTCTCTTCCTATGGGATTTGCTTACCAAGGAGTTAGATGGTGAGCATGGGGAATGCCTGGCACACAGAATATATGTAATTAGTGTTAGGATTAGGATTTTAGGTACTCCAGAAAGACAGGAAAATAATGAAGACTTGTAAGTCTAGGGCAGCTTATAGGAGACAATGCAAATTTTGAGAGCTACATCATCAAGGATTAAAACTTTGATGTTAGTTTTATCTCTGTGACATGTAGTCCTCTAGTCTTAATGCTTATACCTTCAAGAAGTTTCCTTTTGTCATTTCCCTGCCTTTATGCCTAATGCTCAGTCTCTTGTACTAGTTTCCTAAGTAGTCTTCTTTTATGTCTGCCCTATACATTGGTTAAAACTGGCATTGAAATGCTCTTTTACTCATAATACTTTATTGCTGCTCCAAAAATCTTTAATGTCACCCGGCTTCCCCAGAAACGATGACATTGAATATAGATCATGCTTGGAGCCCCTGGGATTGGCAAATGTTTTTTTAAGAAGCCTGATAGAAAATATTTTATATTTTCTACTCAACTCAGCCCTTGTGGGAAAGCAGCCTTAGATAATACCTATAGAAATGGGGTGGCTGTTCTCAATAAAGCCCTACTTACAAAAATGGGTGACCGGCTCAGGCTGTAGGTTGCTAACCCTGTGAACTTGACAGCAAAACAGAGAGACAACAGTAGTTAAGACATAGAACAGAATCAAGTAAAGGTTTTCTGTTTAGGTAAGATCTGATGATGGTTTTAGGTAGAAAGAAACTTGTGAAGGAGAGACTAAACTTGCTTGATGGATTGGGTTGGGGGCCAGGTTAGAGATTGGATCAGGTGTATGTGTTGTTGAATTATTCCTAAGAGGGAAGAGTGACACCAGGACACCAGTAATTGCTAAATCATCAAATATTTATAGAGGTAGAGAAGAAAGAATAAATTCAGATGGATTGAGGTAGATGAGAGAGCATATGAGGATATGTTTGATTTTCTTGGGAAAATGAAAACAGAAGTAGGAGAGGGTGGGGGATAATTGGAAGCTTAGAATGTTTAATTTAAACATTTCCTAAGCTGTGGAAAATACTTTCAGGCAGTGGCTACCAGTATTTTAAAGGTGATAACCTGTTTAACTTCAAAACAACTTGTGGACCACCCCATGATTGTAGTTACGATTTTGTATTCAATTGAGAAAATGTGTATTAGAAAGAAGCTACTACTCTTCAGTGACTTTGTATTTTATGAACCACAACATTGATATGTGAGAAATAGTGTTTATAATGCATTGATAGTGTTTATAATGCACAACATTGAATATGAGAGATAGTGTTTATAATGCATTGCTCTTGGTACCCATTAAGGTTACTAATTCTGCAGTTTCCCAGGAGGCTAAAAGTTCTTAAGTTGGAAATAATTGCTCTAATGAATCAACAATACGAGAATAAAAGATTGCTTAGAAGTAGTATTCAGTTAAAATTAAAATGATAATGAACTCACTTTGAAGTATTCCATAAATTTCCAGTAATACTTGTCAGCTTGGAGCAAGATAACAGAAGCAAAATGATCTAGGGTTAGGTATAAGATTATAGAAGGCCAAAATAAGCATTCAGCTTAATCTTTCTCTAAATTACCTTTTTCTTGAGATCACACTTAGTTTCATTAGTCACTTCTCTATTTGTGGTCATCAAATTGTCATCTCCTTAACCATTTTGTTGATTTCAAATTCCCAGTGTATACCTACTGAATATTTCCATTTGGGTATCTTACTGTTTCACATTTAACATACTGAAAAGAAAGGTTGATAAGTTGAAAAAAAGCTTATTTTTCCTTTGAAAGAACTCCCCGCTGTTTTCTGCTTACACTAGAGAATCTACAGACATGCTGAAGTTGATGACATAACGTGGATAGGTTGGGAAAAACATGAATTAGGTGCTGGCTTTAGTGAAGAAATTGAAATGTGCCATGTTTGGCAAATGATGATGATGAGAAAGTAGAGAGAACCTCAGATTTGTTTTTTTGTTTTAGCCGAATAGAATTAAATTCTGCGTTTTTGAAAATTAATTTACTTGACTCTTGTAAACTCTTACAAATCTCAAATATACTCTTTTTTTTTTTTTTTGAGACCGAGTTTTGCTGTTGTTACCCAGACTGGAGTGCAATAGCACGATCTCGGCTCACCGCAACCTCTGCCTTCTGGGTTCAAGCAATTCTCCTGCCTCAGCCTCCCGAGTAGCTGGGACTACAGGCGCACACCACCATGCCCAGCTAATTTTTGTATTTTTAGTAGAGACATGGTTTCACCTTGTTGACCAGGATGGTCTCGATCTCTTGACCTCGTGATCCACCCGCCTCAGCCTTCCGAAAGTGCTGGGATTATAGGCGTGAGTCAAATATACTCTTTTATTTCCCTGATCCACTAATGCTGTAATACTGTTTCTTTTTTTTCTCTTTTTATTTTTTTAAATTTATATATATATATATTTGTTGCATTTAAGGTTTTGGAGTACATGTGAAGAACATGCAAGATTGTTGCATAGGTCCACACGTGGCAGCTTGATTAGCTGACTTCCTCCCCTTCACCTATACCTGGCATTTCTCCCCATGCTATCTCTCCTCAACTCCCCACCCCCTGCTGTCCTTCCCCTGTTTCCCCCAAACAGACCCCAGTGGGTGATGCTCCCCTCCCTGTGTTCATGTGTTCTTATTGTTCAACACCCACCTATGAGTGAGAACATGCAGTGTTTGATTTTCTGTTCTTTTGTCAGTTTGCTGAGAATGATGGTTAACAGTTTCATCCATGTCCCTACAAAGGATACAAACTCATCATTTTTTATGGCTGCATAATATTCCATGGTGTATATATGCCACATTTTCCCTGTCCAGTCTATCATCGATGGGCATTTGGGTTGGTTCCAAGTCTTTGCTATTGTAAACAGTGCTCCAGTGAACATTCGTGTGCATGTGTCCTTATAATAGAACAATTTATAATCCTTTGGATATATACCAGTAATGGGATTGCTGGGTCAAATGGAATTTTTATTTCTAGGTCCTTGAGGAATCGCCACACTGTCTTCCACAATGGTTGAACTAATTTACACTCCCACCAGCAGTGTAAAAGTGTTTCTATTTCTCCACATCCTCTCCAGCATCTGTTGTCTCCAGATTTTTTAATGATCGCCATTCTAACTGGTGTGAGATGGTATCTCAATATAGTTTTGATTTGCATTTCTCTAATGACCAGTGATGATGAGCATTTTTTCATGTTTGTTGGCCTCATGTATGTCTTCTTTTGTAAAGTGTCTGTTCATATCCTTCGCCCACTTTTGAATGGGCTTGTTTGTTTTTTTCTTGTAAATCTGTTTTAGTTCTTTTTAAATTCTGGATATCAGCCCTTTGTCAGATGGGTAAACTGCAAAAATTTTTTCCCATTCTGTTGGTTGCCAATTCAGTCTAATGACTGTTTCTTTTGCCATGCAGAAGCTGTGGAATTTGATTAGGTCCCATCTGTCTATTTTGGCTTTTGTTGCCAATGTTTTTGGTGTTTTGGTCATGAAGTCCTTGCCTATGCCTATGTCCTGAATGGTTTTGCCTAGATTTTCTTCTAGGGTTTTTATCGTGTTAGGTCTTATGTTTAAGTCTTTAATCCATCTGGAGTTAATTTTACTGTAAGGTGTCAGGAAGGGGTCCAGTTTCTGCTTTCTGCACATGGCTAGCCAGTTTTTCCAATACCATTTATTAAATAGGGAATCCTTTCCCCATTGCTTGTTTTTGTCAGGTTTGTCAAAGATGTTGTGTTGCCTCTGAGGCCTCTGTTCCATTTCATTGATCTATATCTCTGTTTTGGTACCAGTGCCGTGCTGTTTTCATTACTGTAGCCTTGTAGTATAGTTTGAAGTCCGGTAGTGTGATGCCTCCCGCATTGTTCTTTTTGCTTAGAATTGACTTGGCTATGCGGACTCTTTTGGTTTCATATGAAGTTTAAGGGGGTTTTTTCCAGTTCTATGAAGAAGGTCATTGGTAGCTTGATGGGGATAGCACTGAATCTGTAAATTACTTTGGACAGTATGGTCTTTTTCACGATATTGATTCTTCCTAACCATGAACATGGAATGTTTCTCCATCTGTTTGTGTCCTCTCTTATTTTGTTGAGCAGTGGTTTGTAGTTCTCCTTGAAGAGGTTCTTTACGTTCCTTGTTAGTTGTATTCCTAGGTATTTTATTCTCTTTGTAGCAATTGTGAATGGCAGTTCATTCTTGATTTGGCTCTCTTTAAGTCTGTTATTGGTGTATAGGAATGCTTGTGATTTTTGCACATTGATTTTGTATCCTGAGACTTTGCTGAAGTTACTTACTAATTTCAGGAGATTTTGGGCCGAGACATTGGCGTCTTGTAGATATATAATCATGTTGTCTGCAAATAGAGACAATTGGCTTCCTCCTTTCCTATTTGAATACGCTTTATTTCTTTTTCTTGCTTGATTGCTCTGGCTAATACTATTTCTTTTCAAATAATAAGCAATATATTCAGTACTGATTCCCATATAAGTGTGCTGTTACTCTCTAATCATTATCCCTTTCATAAAAATATTTAGGAATAGATCAGTTCATATAATCTTT